TTTTCAACATCGATCATGGGGCAGGGGGGAGGCCGACGTACTTTAAAATGGCCAAAAATGTGAAAAGTCTCATTATTTTTGCACGCAATTGTAGTCTGCGTGGCAGGCTCAATGGGTAAATGAGAGCCTGCAACAATCTCAAGGAAATTTGATCAGCTACTAATTACTATGATAACTTTATTTGAATTATTTCCAATCCAACCAATCATATTCTCTGAAATTCGTGTGCGTGATGCAGTGTGAGTAATGCATGAGTCAATTCCTGGAGTAACCATCCCCCCCGGGAATTTGCCCGATAGACACTAGGTCACGGGGGTCGGGAATTTGCCTTTCATATATGTGCACGGGGGCCGGGTATTGGAGGACACCGGGGATTTGACAAATGGTTGCCCAGAATCCCACCCACAAATTTTAAGGCAGCAAAACCCTCGTGGTCAAGGTGGCGTGAAAGTTATTGTAAGAATAAGCGAACTATTACAGTAAAGGTTTATGTTTTATAATATTCCATAGCAGTTTAATACTATAATGTTATTAAATGACTATGATTATGAGAGCCTGCAACAGCAAATAATTCAAAATAAAGTTATCAATTGAATTATTACCTGCAAATAATTCAAATAAAGTTATCATAGTAATTAGTAGCTGATCAAATTTCCTTGAGATTGTTGCGAAGTTCAAAAGTTCATAATGAGATTCACAAACCAGTTCGTAAGCTACGCATTTGATTGGCTTCTTTTACTTCATGGACCAATCAGGGACTTTGTTTACAAATTGGCTTGTGAATTCCAATATGAGCTTCCGAACTTTGCAACGAACTTGCGAACTTCGCAACGAAGTTCCGAACATTTGTGGTCCAAGTTTCGTGAAATCGACTGTAAAATCGTCCCCGGGGTGGGGCATTTTCCACTCTCAGCTTGCCCAGGGGCCGTGCATTAGTCTTCAAGTTGTGTCCCGGCACCCGGGCATTTACACTATCATAACCAATCAAATCAAATGCCCGGGTGTGTTCCCGGGGGGGGGGGGGATGGTTACTCCTGGAATTGACTCATGCATAATAACTAATATTATTTATTTATTTTATTTAAAAAATTTACCCTAAGGCGGGTGTAACTATAAGAGGAGACGAAGTCCCATACTAGATAGTACATGCACCTACTGTTGCAGTTCATATAGAGTAGCTCAAGAATTCAAACTTTTAAAAAATTGGCAGTTTAAATTACTTTTGGAATTACATTTACACTGGCGATGTCGGTTTGGTACATTAGTATGTGATACAATTCACTAGAACAAAACATTTTAACTTGATAAACGTTAACAGTTTAAATGCCGTTACTCAACACTGACAATTAATTTTTACGTATTAATGAACGGAACTCAATAGAATTATATCAAAAGGAAAACAATATACCATCTTAGGTCCAAACATTACAATAAATTTCAAAATCATACAAAATATGACCAGCTACATGAGCGAATACTGAACAGTGATACACGTTTACAAATTGACAGTACCAAACTCTTATAACTCTAAAAATATATCACAATACAGCAAGCTACTGTAAATTGCACTGTAGTTTGTAGTCTGCTATAAAACTCATAATAACATAAATTCATAAAAGCAACGTTTGTAGATCGAGTAATAAGTTTCATAAACACATAAAGCGACATGTATTCCAAACTTTAATAGGATACATAATTTGTCGATCAATATTTCAAATTGATCGGGTATAGCTACTGTACTGTGCTACTTAGAGAAATACCAACACGTGCATGGGTTTGTATCCATGCTCTTCGACTTGTCAAGGCAGATATCCAATGAGAAAACCTGCCAAAACATCTCAACGATTTCCAGCTGTTCAGTTTTTAGTTTAAAACCCAAATTCACAGTACTCTTTCAAAAATATACGCTTTTATTGAAAGCGTATAAACATTGCGCCACAGACGGTTCTATATAATTTATGCGTATTTTGGTAACATGATTTCAACCAATAGCATTTTTAAGTTCCCTCACGGCCCCGAAATACCAAATTTCCTTGAGATTGTTGCAGGCCCATATTCAATGGGCCTGCCACGCAGGCTAATTAACCACCCCTAAAAGCAACCCTTCTAAACACTATATAAGCACTTCAGAAAGGCTATCGCTTTTGCTTTTCGGAAGTTCGAGCTATGTCGGCACTGCCGTTTCAGGGCGGGGTCATTTTCAGGACTTTCGTCCCGGATTCAAGTTTTGGCACATATATGCCATGTTGACCGCCATGGTCATTTTACCCTAAAACAGTTGAGATTACCTGTGTAAAATGAAACGCATATACAAACTTCTATACAGGTCCTAGACTATAACATTAATATGTGACATTAATTGCTGCACAATTGCTGTCAACCACTGCTCTGCTTATATTTCTTATAGAGTAAGCATTATACTAAGCAATATCATGTTTAATATTTTTGCTTAGTCTTATTGTGCATGTAACATTCTTTTGAGATTCCAGGAAACTCTTGTTGTCCATTACACAGGGCGAAAAAACAGATTTGCACTAGGCTTTGCAACCCGGTGCAAAGGTGCCATTGCCGTAATCGCATCAAATTTGCAAGGTTGCAAATATTTTGGCAAATTTAGAAACCAAATTATGGACAAAAAACCCCACAAATTCACTTGTGCAAATGAAAGGTAATTTGAGCCAAATTTATCCTATACCCATTCCTTCTCAAAAAAGAGAATTGTATTTACCAATATGAGGGTAAAAATTTATTTACCAATTTGCTTTCCAAATTTGAACAAAATTTGCACAATAGCAAATTTGATGCGATTACGGCAATGGCACCTTTGCAGGGGGTTGCAAAGTTGGAGCAAATCTATTTTTTCGTCCTGTGTTAGGCTAACCACACGTAGGTCCATGTACGCATGTATCAATTTAGTTTGTACTATGGCTACAACTGCCCTATGTAAATTTATTAATTTGAGCAATCGAAGGGCTACGCTGCATTGATAACGTACTGGCTGTCTTACTAGGACTGTTTGAATATTTGCAGTTCTCTTTATGTTCTTTAAAGCGATTAATAGAGAACTGCATTGGTTGTATAGACCCAATTTTCATTCTAACCACCTTAGTTAATAAATTCCATGATGGGTGTTTCACCCCTTCCATATCTGAAACTGATATACAGCTGCAAGACTCACTCCCAGAGCTCCCACGCCTATTTGAAACTGCATTGTCAACACCTCCGAGTGCTTGACCGATGGCGTTATACAATCACTACAGTGCAAGGGCCGGTTGTTATAAAACTCTTATAATCACCTTTTTAGTCACTATTTTGTAGTTAAATAGTGGTTAATTAACTTTAATCACGTAGTTTAAGTCGGTTGTATAAAAATGTAGTTAGTGTTATGAGTATATGTGCTGAGCCAGATCAGTGTTCTAAGAAATATTTCCCTGATCATTTTTTCCCAGGGCCCAGCTCAGAGTATATGTCTTGCAGGGCAGGCTAGGATCCAGCTCTAAATGGAGTATATGTTCTAGCCGACTCAGGACCCAGCTCAAAATCTGTAAAAGTATATGTCTTGGGCAGATTAGGACCCAGCTGCAAATCAGTATATGTCCTAATCGACTTTCCCCAAGATCCAGCTTTTCAATACGAGTATATGCCCTGGGAACCGCTCAGCACCCAGCTCTTCGCAGATAAAAAATACAGTATATAGAGCAGTTGTCCCACACTTCCATAACCCCACAAACCTTGTGTTCTTATGCGTGTCGTTATATTAAATATCTCAATATATATATTAAGTCACTATTTTGTAGTTAAATAGTGGTTAATTAACTTTAATCACGTAGTTTAAGTCGGTTGTATAAAAATGTAGTTAGTGTTATGCCAGGGCCGTACACAGGGGCGAGGGAGCAACTACTAGATGCGCGGCCAGGATTCGTAATAAAGTTTCTGAAACGTTCTCTGACAAAAAACTTATCGTAAAATTTATTTAAAACACGAGCTTTCAACTCAGTGCCAGTCTGCAGTCTTCGACAGGGGTCGTTAATCACTGCTTACTTTATGTAATTTTGTGTTTAAACGCCCCACGCAAGTTAACTACGTACGTGATTAGTTAATTAATATCGTACTAGTAATTTTAATAAGGGACGGACCATTAGAAAAGTGATGGGGGCAAAACCAAAAAAAAATATTTCCAGAAAAAAATTAGAAAAAAAAAAATCTTCCCAGGCATAGTGCAAAAAAAAAATTCCCTAGCTTGGAAGATGGGTACAGTACATGCAGGTAGAAATGTAAATACAGACCAACTGTGAAGTGAATAGCACAAGTTCATACTGGAAATAAAAACTCGACTCACGAGTAAATATTGGCCAGGACTATATAAAACTTGATTTATACACACAAAACACTTAAATCAACATTATATTAATGACCAATATTTACTATCCAATTTACTCCATAATTAAAATGATGGCAGCGGTGCGTTTAACCACAATTCTTTGCCGTCTTAAATTAGATTTACGTAATAGTGTAATGCATAATACTTTTAATAAATATGCCAATATGAACTACCATTAACTATTAATAGCTGTCTTCCTACAGAATTTAATCTTTTTAAAACATATTTCTGATATTAAATTATCTAGGATTCTATGTTTTATATATATAAGTGCACGCATATCATTGTGGTTAAATTTACAAGCCAGATTGTCATACTATCATAGACTAGGTCCATGATTGTTACAACTAGACAGTCAAACAGAAACTACTCAATAAAACTGCTATAATCTACTAATCATATTATTAAACAAAAATAAACTAGTATAGTTTTGTAAATATAAACATAAAATCAACTGTTAGTTTTTATATTAAATTGTATGTACAAAGGCAGGCCAAAATAGAAATGGCAAGTTAATTAAAGGGCATTCCTTTTGCCAATCAGATGTCCTCGACATCATTTGAACAATCACTACCACTTTCTATAAAATCACCCCACTTGCTATCACTTTCAGCATCTTTCACTTCTTCTCAATGTCAATCACATCTTCCTTGTCATCCTGCTCATTGGCCTCATCTTCCTTGACCTCATCTTCTTTTCTATCTTCTTTTATAACAATCTCCTCAGTAATAGTAATAGTAATAGTAATAATAATAATAATTTAGAATTTATAATGCACTATTTTACATAAAATGATCAAAAGCACAGTACATGGAATATAAAATACAAAATGGATAAAACTCACATGTTTAAAAAGGTATTAAGTCTTAAGGCTTGTCTTAAAAACACTTGTCTTATAAATATTCCATAATATTGTATCAATAATTACCTGCCTCTGCTGTTTTCTTCGGATGTCCTTCTTCTGGTTCATTTTTCTCTTCCTTAAGCAATGTTGTTCTTTCATACTCACACCATACTGAGCTTTGCATTCTTGGAGCATCCTCTCATAGAGTGCAATGAATTCTTTGACGAAAGCAAGTGCTGCCTCAAGTTTTGGAAGCAGGTCCAAGAAAAACTTGTTCTGTTCTCGTAGACCTACAGGATAGAAAAATATACTATCATTTATAGTGACATACCTTAAAATTAGGGAAATAAGCCCAGGGCTTATAGAGCAATAGAGAACAATTAAACAGATAGAGAACAACTTTTGGCCTTTATAGGCAATAGAGAACAACTAAATATAAAGCAATAGAGAACAACTTTTGGCCTTTATAGAGCAATAGAGAACAATTAAATCATGACTATGAAGGGCTTTATATTTTCTAGAGAGAGGGGCTTATTCTCAGAATTTTGGCATTTGCATAAAGATGTAAGAATTTGGACAGGATTTTCCAATTTATATATTAATATATATTTATATATTAATAATTAATATATACATATATATATTAATTATTAATATATATATATATATATATATATATATATATATATATATATATATATATATATATATATATATATTTAATTTAAAAACCATATCAACACTCCAAACTGGATATTCTAATTTTTCTATGATTGAGTGACACTCACACTCTTCGCCAGCAATCATATGCTGTATCAATATGGTTCTTTATTAACACCTCTTTAATAGGATTTAATAACACATTTTGTACTTTACCTGGAATGATTCTGGGTTTTCCTTCAGTGACAGAAGTCTTTTCAGTCTGTCTTATCTCCCTTTCACAAACATTGATATTCTTCTGAGCCAGGCTTATTGCATTTTGGAAGTTCTCTACAAAACTACAAAGATTGTCATAGTTTTTCTTTCCCGGTGATTTGTTTGCATTTTGGAAGGCAACAATATCAGGGTAGCGTTCCATCGTCATCTCGATCAAGCCATAAACACTTTGCATCTTGAGGTGCGGACTCCAGTTGTCAATCGCTGGACTTTTTGTAATTCCATAAATCATTTGCGATCCTTTTGGGGCGTTGATTTCTACACCAAGCCTCGCAATCCTTCTGGTTCTTTGAAAACTGGAGACGTTCAGCTGCCATTTCCAGGATGAAAGTATTAGATATAGTCTGTTTAGGGGACACTGGAGATTCGTACCTGACACTGTAAGATTCTTAAATTGACCTTGTAGACTTTTGGTGCTCACGATAATGTTTCCCATACCATCTCTAGTCTGTACAAAGTTTTTCATACCAGGAGGCAAGGAAACTACTTTCGACTGAGTGGAAGGCCTATACAAAGCCGTATTTAATTCGCGTGACTGAGCAAGACTTCTCAGATGACTATCTTGATATTCACTAAAACACCTCTCCAGTCGTCGGAACTCGAACTTTGTGAGCCCAAGTATAGTTGCATCTCCTTCATTGACATCTTGAAGATGCCATATTTCCGTGCATGATTCCATTCTGTATAAACACAGAATAGTGTTTATCTAAAGAAGCAGCCTTTAACCACGATAGAAATGCGCAATTTGCATCACCCATGGTCACCAAATTTGCATTTATAATATCCGCCAGGGCCTTTTTTAAGGATTTTCCCGTGGGGGGGGGGCATTTTTTGAAAAGGGACCTTTCTGTGAGATAATATACTAGAGGGGGATAGCAATGGCTGAAAGCCACGTGTGTGGCAAATATACCACGCATGAATGGGGGGTCTGGGGGTGTACTCCCCCAGAAAATTTTTGAAATTTGACTCCCGGAAATGTCATTTCCTGCATTCTGAGCATCCAAATTTGCTCCAAAATTTATCCTAACTATACTTGTATTTTAAATAAATAAAGGAAGAAACACACAAAAAGTAAAAAAAAGATAACTATCATTTATCATTACTTATTAGAGGAGGATAGCAATGGTCAGGTGTGTGGGGGTGTACTCCCCCAGAAAATTTTTGAAATTTGAACCACGGAAATGCCATTTCCTGCATTCTGAGCATCCAAATTTGCTCTAAAATTTATGCTAACTATAGTTGTATTTGAAATAAAAGATGGAAAAATGCACAAAAAGTAAAAAAGAATATTAACTGTAATTTATCATTACTTATTCGGAGGGATAATCCCAAGAACATTTTTGAAATTTGAAACCGTGAAATGCTATTTCCTGCATTCTGAGCATCCAAAAAATAAAAAAAAATATTAAAAATAATTTATCATGGCTTAGTGGTAAAAAAACAATTTAAATCGATTTTGATAAACAAGAACAAAGGATAAAGCCTAAAATTACTTTCCGTTTGTTAATCTTCGCTGGATTGTTTGTATAATTTTAGGAAAAAGGGACTTTTCCTGGGGGGGCAAAATGTGATTTCGTGGGGGGGGGGGCACAAGGGGGGACTGGGGGGGCAAATGCCCCCCCCCCAGCTTGTATGTTAAAAAAGGCCCTGATATCCGCCATCTTTGAACTCGCAGAAATGCAGAATACTGTCAGCGGTATTCTATAACCCGGTTCGTACTTCATTTTATGATAGACCGCTCAAGATGTTGTTGAAAATATGGCGTCCAAGTATAAACGTCCATATCGAGATTTCAGCCGCGATTTTGGTTTCAAACACATATTCATTTCTTTCTGCAATAAAACTGCTGGAGAAAGGCAAGCTGAATTACACACTAAAGTTATCGAGGAGAGTTGTGAAGATAAGCGGCAGTGTTTAGTCGCATTTTCAAGTTTACTGGATGAATTGATCGCTTTATCATGTATGAGCTTCCAAGACGCATTCGATGAATATATTGGCAAGATACCTTCACTAGCATGTATAAAGAAAGATAAACATGACATCCGTTGCCAGTTTAAGGACAAAATATTGTCAAAGAATGGTTTGCCCGTTCTCTATTTAGAAAACAATGGAAGCAGTTTCGTCATGCTACAGGACCGCCCACTGGATAAAATAACACTCTGTCAGAGCCTCGACCAGGTCCTTGATGCACCAAGGGAAAGTGGAGAAGATGAAGTTCCAAATGTCTTTAGCAGCATCCCAGATATCATGGAACTCTTGAGTACAGCAAAAGACAGAGCTATTCTTACATTTGTGTTGTCAAGTGTTTTTTCAGCAACTAAACTTTCACTAGCTTTTGGAATGCAACACCAACAAACTCAGAATATAAAACAAAAGGTTGATGAATTGTTGGACCAAATAAATGATATACGTAAAGAAGCAGATGGGGAAGCAGAAAGAAAAATAGAAGCTCTTATATCACAACTACAGCTTGAAATAGAAAGAGATTCGGATCATCTAAATTTGAAAAGGGCAAGACTACACAAGGAACAAATAGAAGAAAGGAGCTTTGAAATAGAATTGAAAAGAAGACTGCTGGATGGAATGGAAGGGAAATCAAAATCATCTGCAAAGAAAAGGTTGTCCAAGCGACTCATTAAAAATTGGAAAAATAGTCTTATGTCACAAAAAGGGAAAGGTGAGGGAAGGTATAGAATTGATAGAGGTGCAGAACAAGCGATATATGAAGTGCTTCAAGAGCAACTGAAAGCACATAGCCAAAGATGGGGTGAAGAGGGAACAGGGTATCTTGAACATGACAAATGTCTGCATTCGAAGGAAATGAGAAGAATCGCAAATACCTACCTTAGAAAAAGAGGAAAGAAAACAATCAGAAGTAAGGAGACTGTCCGTTCATGGGGGAGATGTCGAAATAGGAGATCTCGTCAGGCCAAGCAACATCGAGGTAGAAATTTGTGGGCTCATCTTCGACCTCAGAAAAAATGGAAAGAAGGGCACATCAACATTCATTACAATCGTGCTCACATTAAGAACTATACTAGATTCGCATTTTCAAATGACAACAAAGAAAGGCAACCATATGTGATTAGACGTGCCATTGACGATAAGGCATATGTGAGGTGCGGGACATCAGAAGGATTCTCAAGGCCACTTCATACCCCAGTGCAACTATCTAATGAAGAAAGACGAATCAAACTGCCCTCCTCTGATTATCCAGATCCAGTGGGCTATGTTGCTCCAGGCGTAGTGTTGTTAGTAAACGAAATGAAAGAGACAGAACACAAAGGATGTGATAAATTTGTACCAACCAGTGTCACTGTAAGTGTTACTTGTAAGCCTAAGCACATTTACTCTGATTTAATTTCCACGCGCTATAATTTCAGAAGTGAACATGAAGTATGTGATGAGGATAGCTATCCTAAAACTTGTTCATTTCAGGATGTTGAGATATTTCTCACAGGTCTGAGAGACAGTGTGTTTCAGTTTCAATTGATGACTATCAAGGACGACTACGAGAGAGTATCAGAGGGTGGCGATCACTGGGCTAGGGAGAAAATGAGGGTTCAAGTTCTTCTAGAGGGACTTAAAATAATATCAGCATCCCTAGAGCCATACAAAAAGGATGAACTTCTGCAGCAAGTCAGCACTAAGGTGTCAAGCCTTAATGACACACTGAAGAACATAGGTGAGATACAAATATTTTTACTCACATGTTTCCTTCTCTATTGTACCAGGTGGGCACAATCTCTGATCAACCTATTAAAAGCTACCTGTATGCTGTAGTTCCAAGTATTACCTTTAAAATGTATGTTCATGTTTCATTGTTTGCAGAGTCAGAACTTGAGGCAAAGAAATGGGATCAATGCACTATGGAAGTGGATTATGACGCTGCAAGTGAACTTTGCAAAACAATTCGACACACGCTGGAGAATAATGGTTTACCAAAGCACAGGTATTTTTAATTAATAATATAAATCTTGTGTAGGAATGAAGTCAATGAATAGGTTTTCATGTTTTTAATAGTAGTAGTGAGTATAGCAGCAACTTTATGATAAAGCTCTATTTTATAAATAGTAAAATAAACTTCTATAAATGATTTTGTAGCTATAAACAATGCTGTATGTTGAATCTGTTTCAGACCTCTTGACATCCAGACATCAGATGCGGGACCTGGAGTGTCAAGCCACGAGAAGATTGTTCAAATTAGAATGTCGGAGTATTTCATGCTCAATTGCCTTGATCTGCAGTCAAGATTTCATTATGCTCCTGGAGATTCATCATCTCACATAGCCGAAAAAGTGATGAGGTCCCTTAACGAATGCCTTGGAGATGGAAGGTCAGTCAAAGTACCAACCGCTTCATTACTTGATCAACATGATAAACTTAAGCTAACACAGCTTAATCGAGATGAGTTACAGAGATTGAAAGAAGAAGCTGAGGCAGAGATTGCAAAGAAATGTGCATTAGAAATTAAGAGCCGCTTTGATGGTAAAGGTTGTATGGGCACATCAATTCATGCCACTGTTCCATTCTATGAGAGTTCTAAGAATTTTTTTTTTGATGAGGAGTTCATGTTGAAGTGTGCTAATGCAAATTCCGCAACTATCCTTGAAACATGTGCTGGCAAAGCTTACTTTCTTTTAGTGAGTAAGTTCTTCGCTGACCATTATATTCTCTATGACAATGGGTTTGAAGGTATAAGGGACAGTTGTGTCAATGAAGATGGATTAGCTTGCACTTTTCATGAATGCTTTGAAAACAAGCAAATTCTTCACAATGGCTGGAGTGGTGTGCCAGTTACACGGATTCATCCTCCTATTCCAGATTACTCTTGTCAACAGGAGTTCCACTATCTCACTCCTGGTCAGATTTTTAGGGGTGATATAACTGAGAAGTATGGCCTTCGAAAAGAGCTCATCAGTGAAACAAGGAAAAAGGACGATTTCTGCCCTCGCAAACAATTAGACAATCTTGTAAACTCATGTGGTTCTCCTGATCTCCATTTGGATGCCACTGAAGAAAAGTCAACAGGTGGTGATTTAGTGAAAACTGTTAAAGATAGAAACGATACACTGACTAAGATGATGCCTAAAGTTGATGACTTTACTAGCAAATATGCAGGAGACGATTTACGATATTCGGTCGTAAAGGAGATCAAGAAGAGGTATAATTCCCAGATTAAAGCATTTGTCTCTAAGAAGACAAATGCTAGTGCGCGGGCATGTGAAAAGGCTAAAACCTATGAAGACATCGACTGCGAAAAACTTGTAAGAACAAATGAATTAAATAAACTGTATGTCTCGCAGCTTGATTTATATCTTCTAACAAACCTTGGCCTGTCTAGGAAAAACTGTGACGAGAAAGGGTTCACAAAGGCTAAAAAAATCGAAGAAATAAAAAAACACTTTTATCGCAGCACAGATACAAAATTCTCTTCGAAAACTGCTTGTAAGAAGCCACAAACATCCCAAACAAGTCCGATTATAAATGTGGCTTTTCAATCTCACTCTACCAGTAGTCACAGTGGTGTGATATTGCAAGTGCCACCTTGGGGAGGACAAGTTAACACACCATTCTCAGGAACTTTAACGTTGACAAATACCTGTCCAATCGATAATTTTTTGACTATTTTCTACATGTTGATGAAGAATCATCGGAATGCAATGCAGCATATGCTAAATTCACCAGAATTGTATGCGGGGACGTTAGTAGTTATCGCAAATCTATTTGATCGGTCACAGTTTATGGAGGGGAAGTGCGAATGGCTCAAACTGTTTCCTGGTAAGTTCAACCTGACACAGAATGGATCACAACTGAATCTATACGGGAATGAGGAAGAGCTTTTTGTTTCAAGACTCTTCCCAGTTCTTGGAACAACCTATAGAAGCATATGTAATTCCCCACACTGTCCAGTAACAGTGAAGCAGAACTATTCAAGGGCAATCACACTGAAGTATGAAAAACCACTTTCTATATAAAATGTACAAAGTATGACAGACACATTAGACGACAGCTGGAAAGCATATATATTTCAATTGAAAATAAAGTTTTTTTAATATTCTGTTTTATATATAGTGCTGTAGATGTTCCACAACCTGGATTTTTACAAGAGTCCCTGACACAGTGGATGAAGACAGACCTACAGACAAGCACTTGTGGCTTGAGGATGAATGTGTTACCCCCTGGTGCCAAACATTATTTAGGGAGCTACATTGTTCAAGATCCAATTACTGGCCAGATGGGGTAGGCAAATTAATACATATCTGATATACATGCAGTGTACATGCTGTGTATTAAGTACAATTTTACTGTGGTTCAAATTTGTCCATTATAGTGTGTCAGTGTATTAAATGAGTATTTAACAATAAAGGAGACAATTTGAACCACACATAGACGGTTGGAGTACTTTTATATGTAATCGGTAATCTTATTGACATTGTTTTACTTACTCCTTGCAGACAAGCAATTCAAGCTTATTGTGCTGGGGTGCTCAGTAATTCTGGCAGAGTATTTACTTCAACAAGTTTACCCCCCTATTTAATGATATCATTGGATATTTTTGCCCAGCAAGGCATATTGTCGACTCTAAGTCATTTGCCAGACACAGTGGACCTGCAGAGTGAAAGGTGCATTTTGTCTGTATGAATTTGCATCCAAAAACTAAAATACAGTTCTACTTTAAAGTTTTAACAAGTATTAACATGCTTGAATATTGTTAAAAACAGGTACAGTCTATTTGGTGCTACATATTGGAATGGTGGTCACTACCGAGCAGCTGTAAACATAAACCAAACATGGTTTATATATGATGGGCTATGGGAAAGAAATAGTCGAGGGAAGCTCTTGAACGCTGTGTTGGACCGCCAAATGTCCCACATGGATACACTCTGTCCCATAGATATAGGAGATCTAGATTGCTAACGCATACCTAGCGCAGGCGGGGCCTACATGATAAATCCAAGATGGCGGTACAACAGGGCAAAAAGACTATAGATTCTATTACGAAAATCAGGATTTTTGCATTTTTTGCCGTCACATTGTTTCGAAACTTATTCGGTCAAATTTTATGGTAAAGAGAAACTTACCGCGAAGATTTTGAGCATATATATGATTGAATTGGATGAAAAATCGCAAAATTATCCAGCGATAAAAGTTCGTGTGAAATGGTCAGTTGGTCAGTTGGAGCGTTTTATTGCCAGAAATACTGTGCTATGTTAACATCTAGCCTTGTGAATGGTGTTTTATACTTGCATCTCTCATCATCATCTGCTCTGTCCTCATAATTATGAAAAATGGACTGTTATGTACCCCCCCCCCCCTCCTTGCTTGTTAGAGAAGTAAACTGATGAGAGCACTGGATGAGGGTCTATCATCTATGGTCTGTTATAATTTGATTTTTATGCAAATAGTGAGCAAAAATTAAAGCAAAACTGTACAAGTTACTTATATAGTACCATATCAGTACTATACACGAACTTTTATCGCTGCATAATTTTGCGAGTTTTCATCCAATTCAATCATATATATGCTCAAAATCTTCGCGGTAAGTTTCTCTTTACCATAAAATTTGACCGAATAAGTTTCGAAACAATGTGACGGAAAAAAATGCAAAAATCCTGATTTTTGTAATAGAATCTATAGTCTTTTTGCCCTGTTGTACCGCCATCTTGGATTTATCATGTAGGCCCCGCCTGCGCTAGGTATGCATTAGCAATCTAGATCTCCTATATCTATGCTCTGTCCCATTGTGTATACATCCAGGATCAGCTGCTTTGAGTTGGGAGATGAGGATGGTTTTACTTGGACTTGGTACAATCAGAAAGAGTATCCTTTGTCTTTTTATAATATATATCTTTTATAATACAGTTTAGTATAGATTATGAAATGCTATATTAAAGTCATCAATTCGTCTAAAACATTGTATCCTTCAAACCCAGACACTACAGATTTACAATTGTTGTGTTCTTGCTTTGTTTTATTTTATTTATTGGACGAATTTAATAATTGACCTATTATAAAATTCTTCTATTTAAATGGATGTACAGACTAGGATTGATGTATAAACTAGGCCTGTAAATTTCACTAAAAAAAAAATATTTCCAGCCATCAAGTGAAAAAAAATAAATATTGCTTCTATAGGTGTACAAAAAAAAATATATTGCCTCTTAGAAAATCCCCCCCCCCCCATCACTTTTCTAATGGTCCGTCCCTTACTACTTACCTACAATCGTGGACATAACTTGTTAATAAAATTTTAATTTACCTCTGTGAAAGTTTAAATTGTAGTTTAATTCCTGTATTTTGTCTAAAACATCCCTTCCCCCAACACAATGTTGTTGAACTACGTTTAAAATGAGAGGAAAATCATGGCAACATTTGGGTGGGGGAGTAGGGGGGACCTGTATGAATTTATTTGATAATTTGATTGTGTTTTCCCGATTTTATTAACACTTTTGTCCATGATTGTCTCCAATAAATTGCAGTTTTCCCAGTTAAAATGCAATCAGCTGCTGAGGGCTTTACGGTTCACAATGTATATTCATTTCAGCCGAGATTTTTAAGCTTCAAAACGAGACAAAAAAACATTTTGTCGACTACATGTGCTTTATAAACAAATAAACGTTGATTATTACAACATTATATGTTAATTTAACCAGATAGATTTGCAAGTGCTGTTGATGCAACCAACATGTATGTGCAGTACATAAACTTAGAGTTTGGAGAAGGCTAAGTGAAAAAATGCATTAGACAAATTAATTGTGCATCTTCTGCTTTTGCTAACTGTACAGTTCGTATTAAATAACTTTATATCATAGTTTGGGGCGAATATCTACCTCTGGTTTTATGTCACGCTGAACAGTTAACCATGATAGTTAACAACAGACAATAATGAGAAATGTTACGTTTGCTAGCATACTTGTGTAGACATTGTTGCATTTTTGACATTTCCAGAAAATGCAGGATTGTATCAGAGAAGATCAAGTTATCACTTATCACAACTGCAAATTGTGCAGAAATGCGATGTTCAGCTACGGTTAACCTCTTCTTTTAAAAGCTATTAAAGACATCAAATATTTTATCAATATTATGGTGAACCGTGCTTAAAACCCCAAATAAGGAAATGGTAACCATGATTACAATATAAACATTTAAAAGAAAGTTCAATCATGTCTAATAAATAGAAAAACTACAAAATTTATCGTCCCATAACGTTGCTTGCAATAATTTCTAACATTTATGGCCATGGTTAACCGTCTGGTTAAGCGTTGCATTGTTAATTACTGAGGGATAAGCAAATTACATTCAAGCGTTCCTGCTGATATTTTACTACACAGTAATTTATGTTACGCTATTCAAGCAGAGGAGGTCGGACAAGCAGGCCGCAAAGCATCATGGGTTCGAGTGCCTAATTCCAGGCGTGGCTTCAATGACTCTTTGACTGTCGTGGAGTGAACATCTCTTCGAGTAAACAAATATGAAAGCATTCGAAAGACAAGATTGTCAGGCTGCAATACTTCGTGAAAATAGCATGTTATTGCTGTATTGTTGCGATCCTCATTATGACGTGTGAGTTACTATACCAAGTTTACCTTATATTAAATTGCATGGGACGTGCTGTCTTTTTATAGCTTTATATAAAATAATCCACGAAGGAATTGTGTTATTTCCAATAGCAAGGCTGTTCTTTTTAAGTTGGATGGAATCTCTGTGTATCATCATCGTGAAAACAAGCGCAGTATTTAAGGTTGGTATCCTACAATGCAATACAGTTGACTTGTTTCAAATTTCCGCTTTGCTGTTTTCAATATTGTACTGTAATTTTATAAATACACTGTACAAATTACGGCGTAATATTTCAAATATTAAATTCAACCCTTTAGTTTGACCCTATTCCTGATGAGTTTGCTGATGAAAACATCCAGCATATGCTCTTGGATTTCGATGTGGATCATATCAGTTGACAGCGAATACAATTGATGATGGACATTGGTTTTCAGATCAGTCTGAAGGTATTGTTATTTTTTATAAATTTTTGCTGAGTATGATGCCTGTTTGTATCTAGTTGTAGATGGTTGTTTAAATGTGCAAACTGTAGTTTAATATTTTTCAATTTTCATCTAAATATTGTTTGTGTGTTGTTCTATTATGGTTAGCACTATTTTCCATCCAGCAAACTGACCTGACGTTATTTTCGGAAGATAGAAGAGGTGTTAAATGGCTATGTAACTAACCCAAACCCTACTTTAACCCCTAACCGAATTAATGTGCTTTCGTGTAAGATTGCTAATTTTAGAGATGACGGTGCATAAAATATAATTTTCTTGTTATGATTTTGTAGAAAGAGATTTACTTGAGTTGTTGGCTGGTCATGAGCCTGTTCAGGATGGATATGATAATGAAAGAGGTGATAGGGTAGAAAGTGATGACAAGTTAAGTGATGAGGAGGAAGAAATCAACCAGGCTGTACCATTCAAGTGCATCTGTGGGAAAAGGCATACCTCACTCCTCATGAACAAGATAAACCAGTGAATGTAAGAATACGGCCAGAGCCATTGAATCCAAGGGACCCAAGTGCAATAGCAATTGATCTAGACTATGGAACTGGATGGCCCCATGTTGGTTATATATTGCTTCTGAACTATGCAAGTATCCGCACCCATTAATTGCTGCCAGAGATGTTGTGGATGTCTAATATGTTCAGCATATCAAGTATAGGATTGACTTTTTTAAAATAGGATTTTATCCAAAACATTTTGCAGAGACATGGTTAGTGCATGGGAGACTTAAGTGGTAGGAAAAGCATGAGTGTATGTTGACAGATGTTTTTTATATAAATAATAGCAACTAACTACAGTATGTTTAGCAAGTTATTGAAGTGCATAAATTATTTCAATTGGCTAACTTTTTAGATTTTTTCCAGCATTTTTTAAACAAACCATGGGTTATAAATGATAACTTTCTATATCTAATTAAAACAATCTGTCATGTACACTCATGCAAAATAAGTACATAACTGTAAAAATGTGCTTTAGTAAATAAATGAGTAATTTATCCATGCACTTGACCTACTTTGTTTGTAATTTTTTCAGATTAAAATTAATGCAACAATAAAACAAGAAGATGTCTATTTATATAATTGCACAGGTCAATTCCTGGAGTAACCATCCCCCCGGGACACCCCTGGAAATTTGCCTAATAGACAGTTTACAGGGGTCGGGAATTTACCCGTCATATACGTGCACAGGG